TGCCAATGCAGGGAACATGGGTTTGATCCCTGGCCCAGGAAGATCCCACATGCCGTGGAGCAACTAAGCCTGTGTGCCACAACTACTGAGCCTGTGCTCTAGAGCCCACGAGCCACAACTACTGAGCCTGCATGCCACAACTACTGAGCCTGCATGCCACAACTACTGAAGCCTGCACACCTAGAGTCTGTGCTCCACAACAAGAGAAGCCACCTCATTGAGAAGCCCACCCACTGCAACGAAGAGTACTCGCCGCAACTAGAGAAATCCTGCACACAGCAACGAAGACCCAACGCAGCCAAAAATTAATTAATTATTTAATTATTTTTAAAAAGCACCTTGGCATTGAAAAGTAAAAATGGAAGGAAACTAAGAGTAGGGTTATGCTTGGGTGGTAGGAATAGAGATAATTGGAGGGGGGCTTTTTTCCAAGTGATCTTTCAAGAGAAAATATTTTTATAACTTTAAAAAATTCATTTACACCCAATTAGGAAATGCATTTCTACTTATGAATCTTTTATAACCAATATTTGTTACACATTCATGTAAAGAAATAATTTTTAAAATAGTTAAGCATAATTATAGGGAATTTTTCAAAATTTTCATCTAACTAGATTACTCCAACTCCTAACTGAATGTGAAGATACTTTATTTAGGAAGAAAAAAACAAACTATATGTTCAATATTCTTCACTCTTCCAGTCTCCTTCACTCTTCCCCTTCTTCTCACTCTCAGCAAATGATCTTGCTTCTTTGAGAAAATAAAAACACTGTCCCGTCAGTGTTTTTATTACAACTTCTACCAATCCACCTGCACTTGAACCTGAACCTCCTATGACTAGGAATGAATTGCCCATGCTCCTCTCTAAGGTTAACCCCTCTGCTTGTGTACTGTATCCCATTTCCCCTCTCTGCTCCTGCAACTGTCCCCTCTTACCTCACATCAACTGTTCCTGCCTACAGGAGCATCCTCATCAGGGAACAAATTTGTCATGGTAATTCCCACCTTTAAAACAAAAAATTCTCCTTCAACCCCATTCCCATATTCCCTTCTAGCTACTGCCCCACTTACCTGCTCCCCTTTAGAGCTAAACTCCTCTGAGTTGTCTACATTTGCATCCTCACTTCTTCCCTAACCATTCTCTCTTGAGCCCACCCTCAATCTGACTTTCACACTCACCCCTTTATTGAATCAACTTTCATTAAAGCCACCAAAAAACTAAACGTTCTCCAAATCTAATGGTCAATTCTCAGTTCACAACTTGCTCATCAAACTGGCAACTGCATATAACATAGCAGATTATTCTCTCCTTCTTGAAACACTTTCTTCTCTTACCTTCTGGGACACTATTCTCCTTTGGCTTTCCTCCTATCTCACTGACCACCCCTTTTCAGTCTTCTCTGCTCAGTCCTCCCTATCTTCTCAATTTCTAAACATTGGAGTTTTCAGGGCTCAGTCTTTAAACTTCCTCTTCTCTCTATCTATATCACTTCCCAGATGATCTTATTAACTCTCATAGGGACTTCCCTGGAAATCCAGTGGTTAAGACTCTGTGCTCCCAGTGCAGGGGGCACGGGTTCAATTCCTGGTCAGGGAACTAAGATCCCACATGCAGCATGGCGCAGCCAAAAAAATTAAAAAATAAATTTAAAACTCTCATAGCTGTAAGTCATCCACACACTGATGACTCCCAAATAAATATTTCCAGTCCAGACCTCAATCCTGAACTCCTGACACCTCTCTCCAAATTCTTACGCAACATCTCCACATGGACATCTAATAGACATCGAAAACATAACATTCCCCAAGCTAAACTCTTGATTTATTTCCCCAAACCTGCTCTTCCCAGTCTTCTCCATCCCAAGAAAATGGCATCTCTGCTTTTCCAGCTGCTCATGTAAAAACCCAAGAGACATCCTTGAATCCTCTGTTTCTGTCACATTCTATGTGGAACATCAACAAATCCTACTGCTCCTTCTAAGTATACCCTGATCCAAATCTTTTTTCTTTTCTCACCTATATTACAACAGATTCCTAACCAGTCTCCTGCTTCTGCCCTTGCACCTCCCACCCTGCTCCACAGTGTACTCCCCACACAACAACCATGGAGATCCTTCTGAAATATAAACCAAGTACTTATTGCCCTCAGCAACGGTAAGGTAATTTGGATCAACCCTACTACCAAAAGCAACTAAAAATGCTGGATTAAAAACAAAACAGGGCTTCCCTGGTGGCGCAGTGGTTGAGAGTCCGCCTGCTGATGCAGGGGACACAAGTTCGTGCCCCGGTCCGGGAAGATCCCACATGCCGCGGAGCAGCTAGGCCTGTGAGCCATGGCCACTGAGCCTGCGCGTCCGGAGCCTGTGCTCCGCAACGGGAGAGGCCACAACAGTGAGAGACCCGCATATCGCAAAAAAAACCCAAAAAACAAAAAAAAACCTTAAAAACTCTGCAGAGCCATAAAACAGTAAAGAGCTACAAAAGTTTTCTTTTCAAAACTGAAAACAAAACACGAACTCCAAGAGGTAAGTAGATAACTGTAACCACTCACCCTAAAGTCATCTGACAATTCAGACAAATCTGAATTTTGACCTCATAATGAGAGGGGGACAGAATTTTAAAAGCTCAAGGCTCATCCAAAGTAGAGAGTATAACAGTAAGACCCTCTTCACATTAAACTAGAACCTCAAAGACTACATACTCAGGGTACAAACCAGCAGCCCTCACATGAACTTGCAGTTAGAATTCACAACTGGTTATTCAAAAAAACCTCAAGCTGTGGATTTAGTTTCAAGTTGTCCCTGGGCAGGGCTTCCCTGGTAGCACAGTGGTTAAGAATCCACCTGCCAATGCAGGAGACATGGGTTCGAGCCCTGGCCCGGGAAGATCCCACATGCTGCAGAGCAACTAAGCCCATGTGCCCCAACTACTGAGCCTGTGCTCTAGAGCCCGTGAGCCACAACTACTGAACCCGTGTGCCACAACAACTGAAGTCCGCGTGCCTAGAGCCCGTGCTCCACAACAAGAGAAGCCACCACAGTGAGAAGCCCATGCACTGCAATGAAGAGTAGCCCCCGCTCACCACAACTAGAGAAAGCCCACACGCAGCAACAAAGATCCAACACAGCCAAAAATAAATTAATTAATTAATTTTAAAAATAAATAAAATAAACACCAGAAGTAGACAAGACAAAACTTTAAATATTGTAATTATCAAACTGAACTATATGTTTAAAGAAATGAAAGGTAAGTTTTAGAAGATCTGCAGGGAACAGGAAACCATAAAAAGTGACAAGGCAGATTTAAGAACGAACCAAATAGAACTTCTAAAAATAAGTAAAGACACCTATACATACACACACACATATTAAAAATAAAGTATTTACAGGTGAAATATAACATCTGAATTGGCTTCAAAATAATCCAGGTTTGGGCAGGGGTAAGGAAAGAGGAGTATATATGGGGGATATAAGACTGGCCATATACTGAAAATTGATAAAGATGAGTGACAGATACGTGGGAGTTCATTCACTATTCTATTCTACCCTTATATATGGTTAGAGTTTTCCATAATAGAATGTTTAAAATGAGTTAAGTCCAAAGTCAACAAGGTGCTACTCACTCTGACTGAGTACATACATACTCAGACAATGTTATAATTGTCTTACCTCTCTGACCTCACCTTCTACTACTTTTTCCTCTTCCTCTGCTCCAGGCACACTGGAACACCCCAGCACACTTCTGCCTCGGGGCTTCTTCCACCCTTATTCCCTCTGCTTAGAACACTCTTCTTCCAGATATGCACATGGCTAGCACTAGAGACCTCTTTAGCTCTCTAGTTTACTTTCTCATCACAATGATCTTCCCTTACTACCCTAAAATCATGCACATGCTCACATATACAGCTGCTCTAGCCTCTTCACAGCACTTATTAGCATTATTTGTCCACCATCTCTTTCAACTAGAAATGTAAGATTCTTAAAAAAAGAAATTCTGTTTTGTTTACTCTTCATTCCTAACACCTAAAACAGTGAATGGCTCCTGGTAAGTATCCAATTAATATATGCTGAATAGACTGATGATGAATAGAAGTAACTAATGAAATCAGTGAAAGAATATCTGAAGATAACCAAGTATTCTAGAATCTATGTACTGTTAAAGTTTATTTCATTTACTTTGTATCTGTTTCTGATTTATGCTTCATCTCCATGATTTCTACCATGAGGAGATCAATAGGATAACCCGGTCTTCTAATAGCCAAAACAGAATCCACCACAGCCTGGAAGAGAAATGAATGAGAACAGTAAATTATTTGGTCTACTAAAGGAAACCACTGGCCCTAGTAATCTATCACCAGACTAAGCAGATAAAGTGTTTCAGGCTCCAAAACACAAGGCAAGGTCAGAAAGTGTCACTTTGTCATGGATACGAATGATAACCAGTGCCAATGGATACTTTAGAGCCAACAGGGACTTCAGAGATTATCAGGTCCAATCCCCTTATTTTACAGAGAAGGAAACTAAGGTGAGACTTTAAGAAGTTATGGTCTTAAAACAAGATCTAACAGGTAGTAGCAGAGTCAGGACTAGAAATCAAGTCTCTTTAACTGCCAAGCCTACTATACAAACACTACTCAAACTTTTCCACCAAAGGACACCTTAATGGAAAAGAAGGAAATGAAATCTAAGGAAAGAGTTCAAATTTGCTGGCTCTAACAACATGAAATTTTTAAGTCTTATGTTTTACCATGAAACTTTTCTACATCATGCCAAAATATATACGTTTGTTTTTTGTTGTTTTTTAATTTTCATTGGGGTACAGTTGATTTACAGTGTTCTGTTAGTTATACATGTTTGTTTCAATGTGAAAATAATGCTTTTCCTCCATCATAAAGTAAAATTGACACTCCAGAAAGACATGTCTCATTTATTCTGCCAAATATCCCCAGGGATACGCAATTTGAGAAGCACAGCACCACAGAGTCTATTGCTTAGCTCAGAAAGTAATATGAAAATAACTGACTACAGAAATTAAGTGCTATAGTATAATCATCCTCAAATAAAATAAAAGCAAAAAAAACTATATCTTAGAAAAGTTTACTGAGGTAACATGATTTTTGGTTTTGATGACTAATGGGGAATAATGACAAACCATTGGAAAATGAGAGTATTAGTGTTTCTATAACTCCAAAAGAGAATGGACGCCCTAATCAGATAGTTTGAAGATTCTGGGCCACGTGATATATGTACTTTAACAGCAGAAAACACAGCAGAGTCTTTATTTAGACTGCTCAGCAAGAAAATGTCTTAATTTCTTAATCTTAATCTGATTTCCCAAGTAGGTTTTCCTATTGGTAAGAATTGACCAGAAACAACTCAGGTGTTTCAGTATTTATATTTCTCAAGGTAAATTAGTAAGATAGAATTCTGATTTCTATGTCAATGTCTTGTGAATTTGGTTGTTATGAACTCATCATTCCTGATAAACTAATATACTCAAGTTTCAAAAAATGCAAAGCTAAGGAACAATGATGATATCATCAAACTACAGCTACCTGATAAAAGCGTTCCCAAAATACCCAACTTTGTCCTGATATTATATATATATATTCTACCTTTAGAAGTAAACAAGTATACACTTCCCAGATGTGAATATTATCTATCAGACCAATCATTCTCATTAAAGTGGTAACCTTGGGCTTCCCTGGTGGCGCAGTGGTTGAGAGTCCGCCTGCCGACGCAGGGGATATGGGTTCGTGCCCTGGTCTGGGAGGATTCCACATACCGCGGAGCGGCTGGGCCCGTGAGCCACGGCCGCTGACCCTGCGCGTCCAGAGCCTGTGCTCCGCAATGGGAGAGGCCACAACAGTGAGAGGCCCGCGTACCGCAAAAAAAAAAAAAAAAAAAGTGGTAACCTTAACTATAAGGCACACTGCCAAAACAACGTCCCCAACCTCACATAATAAATATGGACCTCTAGGTTTAGGAGACCAGTGTGCATCACCCCAACAGCTTCCACAGGGGGTGATCCATAGGCAGCCAAGTCCCTCCCAACTTTCAAGTTAACTTAAAAGAAGGCTTAATATGACACTTTTGAAAAATTACACATACTGTTCTGACCAATCAAATCTACTCTGTAAATAAGCCTATAAATATCTGTCTTCTATATTTTGTTGTATGTTCAAAAGAACCACGCGCCATAGCTAGCTGATTATCTTATAGGAAAAAGAAAAATACCAACATGTGTTAGGCTGTACTCATTCTGCCAAAGTTTAACCACACACCTCTGTTAACACATAAGCCAGCTGAGGATGAACTTCAGTTTGTAGAGATGTTCTAGCCACATCTAAGAGGATTTCTCTTTTCATCTCTTTTTTAATTTTAACTTGTTCCCAAACTTCAAGTGCCTTTATTTTTGCAACTTCAAATCCTTCAGCTATTATTCTAGGGTGCAGGCCCTAATACATCAACATAAAACTATAAAGTAAGTTATCCAAAGTAAAAGTAACTATCCTTTCCTACTAATAGGTATGTCCAAAACAATTGATTACCTATATCAACGCCACTAAATATAAGTGTATGTATGTAATTTGTAATCTTTCAGCGCTTCATATTTCAAACAATCTCAAACTTACAGAAAAACTGTTTACAATTTACAACAGTACAAAAGAACTACAAAAGTTCTTTTTATGTCTGAAAACTATAACACACTGTCTGAAAACTGTAACACACTGTCATGTAGTGCTCTTCTGAATGGGCACAGAAGAGAAGACTACCTGTAATGTAGAGGAAAAGAACCAGCATTGTTTGGAGAAAAACGACAGATGGGCAGCACCTTCACCAAATGTTCAAAGTTAACATCATAGAATGGGACAAACACACACCATGTTCCTCCAGAGGTGCTGCATTAAGACCAATACAGCATTTCCATGGCACTCCTGCCAAAGGTTCATAACCTGAGTCTAATAATGAGGAAACAGACAAATCCAAACTGAGGGACTTTCTTAAAAAAAAAACAGCTTATTCTCTAAAAGTAGCAATGTCAGCAATGTCACGAAACACAAAAGATGGCTCGGGAACTATTCCAGCTTAAAGAAGACTAAAGGGGTATAACAACTGAATCGGACAAGAGATGAAATTTGAATAAAACCTGCAAATTAGATAAAAGTACTTATCAATGCGTTAATATTAATTTCCTGTTTCGATCACTATACTGTATGAGAATTCCCTGGTTTAAGAAACATACACTGAAATATTTAGACCATCATGTCTGCAACTTATTCTTATACTATTAGAAAAAAATATGTATATTACTATATATACACATTCCATATATATATATATATATATATGTATATGTATATTCATGAAAGAGAGAGAAATGTTATTCTTTGGAATATTCTTGCAACTTTTCTGTAGGTCTGACATTATAACAAAAATTTTTTTTGAAAAAATGCTATTGTTTTCTGAAAAATAATACATAAACTTATTGAAAGCTGGAACTAGTTCTAATTTATTCCCTTCCTCCATTCCTTTATGTCAGTCCTATAATAACTTTCAAAAGTTGACATTTATTGAGCATTTGTGCCAGGCACTATTCTAAGGGATTTACATGTATTATTTTAGTCCTCTCAACACTATGAAGTGGGTGTTTTTATCATTCCTGTTTCACAGATGAGGAAATTTAGGCTTAAAGGCTTAGATCACCAGGCTAGTAAGAGCCAGAGTCAGGATTTAAACCCAAAAGGCCTGACGCCAGAGCCTGTGTTATTAACCATCTTCAAAACATTTCCTCAGCCTAGGACTACACAACTTCTCACCTAGACTACTAGGAAAACCTTTAGTCTTGACTCCCTTAAAACTGTCCCCCAAATATTTAAAATGCCAATCTGACCATATCACTCATTCATATGTCAGCATGAACATTCTTCTTGGTTAGTATATTACACGCCTATTCACTACTGTCCGCATCACTTTAAACTCCACCAACACCAGACTGCTTGTAGCTCTGCACACACACCAGTTTGCTTCTTTTCTCTGTGCCTTTGCTCATGTTTTTCCTTCTGCCTGGAATGTCATTCTCCGCACCCCTCACTCTTTCATCAGGTTCACTCCTCACCCCTCACTCTTTCATCAGGCTCACTCCTCCTAATCCTAAAGATTCATCCCAGGCCTATTTCCTCCAGAAAGTGCTTCCTGACTACCTCAGGCTAGTTTAGGATACCCCTCCCTCCTCAGTGTTTCTATCCCATCCTGTGCCTAGCTCTGTCACTGCACTGTCACACAGTTTCATAACTATGTCAATGTCTGTTGGCAGCTCCCCTTCCCTAATTTCTTCCTTCCTAGCCCAACCTTAATTTTGTTTAGGTATCTCTCTTTCTCAGTGCTTCAGAGGAAGCTGACCCTATCCCTAGCTCAAGGGGCGGATCCTAATTAGATTAAGTCAATTTCCCAAAAAACTGTCACTGGTTTGGGATGGAATAAGACCAATGTTGGCCCAATCATATAAAGGAAGGACTTTTATTCTATGGCTCGGTGAATGGTTTTCTCTTGCCCTCTCCTGCTGAGTGTTAGTAAGGAGAAGAGGCAGCCCTGATTTCTTCTGACAGTCTTTCATCCAGGATGGGAATAAGCCCATGATGAAACAGCACTACAAGTGGAAGAGCTAAGAGACAGAAAGGATCTGGGTACTTGATGACTGAATGAATTTTTTAATCAACTAACCCTAGAAGCCTGTTTTATTGCTATATTTCCTGTTACGGGAGATAATTTTTTTATTGTTTAAGTGACTTTTAGTCAAGTTTCCACTGCTTACAGCTAAAAGCATCTTGAGATAAGTTGCAGGTACTGAATTAATAGACAGATCCCAATACTAAATGAAACACAAAGTGATCCTTTTAGCACTTTGAAAGGACAGGTTATGCTTTGCTAAAATGGTCCTTGAAAGAGCAAAAATTCAACTGCTTAATTAGAAAAGACAGATAAGTAACGCAAAGAAAACAATACAAATTGAACAAAGGCATGGAGGTAGAAATGTATGTAATGATTTCAGAGGCCAGTGAATGAAGGAGTCTGGCTAGAGGAGACTGTTATAAAGGGAAATAAAACTAGAAAAGTAGGTAAATTCACAATGTGGAAAACCTTCATTAATTCTTCTCTAGTTATTTTTTAAAAGGTGCATAATTTGGTTTCAACTTTCCCAGTGATGTTTTCTTTCTTAGGCCATTAGTCATGGGTACATGGCTAATTTTTTAACTTTTATATATATCTCAAATATTTAATTTTTTTAAAAGGTATATAATTTCAATAAAAGGCATTATTTTGACTAAAAATTTCATTATTATTTCCATTTATAATTGTCCAAAAATATCTTGATAAAAATTAACTTTTTCCCTCTAAAATTAAACCATTTTACTAGCAAAAAATAAATAACTTTTTATTCAAAATAAAGTACCACATGAATGTGCATTCTATGAAATTCTAATACCTCAGAAATGTAAAGATCAGCTTGTTTTAGTAACTCTCCGATAATTAGAACATTTGAAGTAGTACCATCTCCTGTAATGTCATCCTGGGCTGTTGCTACTTTTGCTATAAAGGAAGCTGTTGGGTGTTGAATTTGTTGAAAAAAGCAAGCAAAAGATTAAAAAAGAGAGAGAATGAGATAAAGAAATAGTCCACCAAAAACAAGATAACCTAAGGGTCAACAGTAAAATTAAGAAATGAAATAAGCTTCATTCTATAAGTTCACAAGTTTTATATTATCATACATAATAAATGTCAAAACGAAAAGTTAAAACCTGAGAACTAATGAGGTTTGAACATTTTATAAAAGAGTCTCTGCTTCGAATGCAATGACATTTCCAAAATAAGATTACATCCTTCAATCTTGAAGATGAATGTATGTACTAAACTTGCAAAGGATTTTTTTCCATGATTACAAAGAACATAATGCATTGCCTTTAAAAAATGTAACTAATTTGGAAGTATCCCTAAGTTATTATTTGCACTACACAAAGATCTGAAAACAGCCAACAGACTTTTTTTTTTTCCTAAGGTTTAAACCAACAAGCATATCTCATGACTGCAGTATTTAGCTGACGGCCTTGGTTTAAGGATATACAAATTGTACTACGTTCTCAGCTAAGGCTAATTAAGGTTTATTAAGTTAGCAACATCAGCTCACCATCTCATGGAGCAGTACACAGCCATCTTTGGTGAGTTTCATGTCTCTGCACCAGAAACAAGCCTGTTCAGAAAACAGTGGTTATAAACTTCATATAGCAAGAGCCAAACAAGACACTCCCAGTGTTAGCCACTCCACTATCCTTAATATAAGTAACTGGGTGTGGAAAACTTCCATTATACCATGGGGGATACCACAGTAACTACCACAGAATCACTTCTCCCCAGATGGACTGCTATGGTGATTTCATTCCAAACAGCACATTTACAAGTTTAAGGACAAGAGAAGTCCAAGAGTTATGAACAGTGGTTTGGTACCTGGAAGAGTACTTGGAAGTCTACAAACCACAAATTTGTGAACTTTCTGCAGGTTTCTTTTTTTGTGAAATGTTACCATTCATTCACTCAACTAATGTTTTCCCTCACCCCTCAATTCTACAACCTAAATGTCTCTTGAATCTACCCACTCCTCTCCATCTCCACTGTCATCATCATCTCTAGTCTGGACTAAGCATCTTGATATGTCTGAATTTGAATTTACCCTCCACACTGCATTTATCTTTCTAAAAGGCAATGTGATTCAGTCAGTTCCCTCACCAAAAATCCTTCCATGATTTTCATGTTCTCCATCACCTTCAAGATAATATCCAAAATATATAGCAATAACATAGGTTACCTTTCCCAATCTGGGTAATGTCTGTTTCTTCTACCTCTTCTACCAAATGGGCAAACCTTGGGGTTCCCCTACTACATCATGTTTGCTTTTGTTTCTGTTGGATTTACACCCCTGAGCTTCTCTTGTTCCTGAAGTTACCCTATCTAGAAGGCCTTTACTCCCTTCTCCAACTGGAGAACTCTAATTCGTTTTTCAAGACTGATGAAAAATCCTGTCATTGAGAAGCTTTCCCTTCTCCCTTCTGCCATCAGTTATTAGTCCCTTTCCTCAGTATAATGGTATATATATAATTAGCACATTCATCTCTACCAGAACTCCTTAAGAATAGAAACTGTATCTTGGTCATCTCTGTGTTCCCAGCATCCCAGTCAGTACATACTCAGTGCCCTCTTTTACTGTTAATTACTTTGCTCATTCCTCTGAGACTGTACCTCTCTCCTCTTACACCTCTTTGCCCTCACTAGTCTCTTTCCCTCTCTTCTGAAGAAAAAA